TGATGGGATAGGAACGGGGATCGCTGGGTGCGTTTCAAGAGAAAAACGGGTCTTGATGCTCCACCTATCCCTTATTTTCCGACCATGGACAGTTTGCTGTAAATTAGGGACGTCGTCGTCGCTGTTTCACCTTGACATGTTAGGGCGAGGGAAGCTTGGCTATCAATCCCAGTTCGGGGGTTTCTTCTTGTTTTTTTTTCGGGGTTGGGGTGCTGCTTAGTCCCATCTCCAATGGGGACGGACCATGTCTTACTTACGCGTCCATCGGATGGCAGACGTCACGCTTAAATGAGGCCAGGGGACATGCCTGCATCCCACCGCCTAACATCAACCAGTTGGCTAGCCTTAACAAACACCACGGCGCCAAAGCTGAAGGGTTGCACCCGTCTGTCGCCTGGTGCAAGACCGGAATTTCAGGAAGTCATATCCGCGATGTTGACGAATGGCTTCCCTCGGCTCGTCCAGTCCTTGGTCCTGCAACATCGATCGGTGAGACATCTCCGAGATTTGCTTCTTCTTTTTTTTTTTTTTTTTTTTTTTTTGCGTTGCGTGTTCAGGGACATCGGACGCAATAACCATAACCTCCTCGTCCGCTTCGCCGGAAGTCCGGCTTCGGGCCATGGACAGCGCTTAAAGCCAAATTGAGTCCACGTCATTTTTCAATTTTCCACTCATCATTACCAGGAGTCACAGAATCTTCCAGATTGGACTGTGTGATGAGCCTGAATTTTCTGCCTGTGATGATATACCGCCACGCGTCTTAGCAGGGCCGTCGGTTCTGCACGATATTCTACTTGAAATTCACGATAATATGGGACCGATGGGGATCTCTTGGTCGTGCATGCGGAGCATGAACCTCCAGACATACAAACACCCATTTTTAGGGCAGACTCTTTGAGCTTACTGCTAACTATCCACATCACATATATCAGGCGAACCCGAGCCCAGTGCTGTGCGGTCTGGCCAGCGGTGGATGTCGCCATTGTCGACCACGCCAGCGTGACTATCAGACATCAAGTCCTTGGATCGCCCCTGAGCATCCCTTTGTCAGCGGCGACGGGGACTACCGCTCCAAACAACTCGTCTGTGCTTGTTTGACACAGAGCGGTTGATGATGCCAGGGGTGGGGATGGCATCGCTTTTTAGAAACGTCAGCGAGGGGCCCCCGGTCCAAGACACCATTTCCGGCCTGACAACTGGACCCGTGTCATTAAATTTGCTTCTTTCGTCTGCCTCAGACTTTCGCTTTCGCCATGGTGGTTTCTGTGATACAGCACCCAAGACAACTTTCTGCAGTCCTGCAAGGCTCGTTCAAGACAGCCGAGGCGTGTTGCCTCTCGCAATACCGAACACCACGAACGCCTCGCAGAACTCGCAGACCTGCCCGCAAGACGAAATCAGAACGGGCCACTCAGCACATCCAGAATTCGCTTGGCGATCCACGAGTGCGTGTGCGTTGTCGGGCTGCTCTACGTCAAACGTTTATCCCGAAAACATTGCGTCGGCAGAAAGGGGAAAAGAAAGTAAAACTCACTGATATTCGTCCCAGTAGACCTGCTTCTCAGCGTCCCCGCAGATCGTCACGTTCGGTGTCTCGCCATACGCCCCAACTAGACAACTTCCATACTTCCCCAGATCCGCGAAGCCGTATGCCTCGGGAGTGGCATAGTACTCGAAGTCGTCGAAGAGAGGTCGCAGGTCAACGTTTACCGCCCCTGTCTTCGAGCCGCCCAACAAATCCCCCAGAAGATCCGTGTAGGTCTGCAGCTGCTGCTTGGCTATGTTGTCTATGAAGAATCCATACGGTAACCTCGCGAGGTCTGGCGGTGTGATCGTCAGGACCTCGGCTGTGGGATGTGCGTCCCGGAGCTCTGCTTCCGCTTGTGCCAGGACTTGGTATGACTGAGAAGCACTGATGTTGGCATTGAACAGGATGTCGTTGGCGCCCGCGAACAGCACGAAAAGCGGCGTCGTAATCGCAGCCGAATCAGAGGCCGAAAAGCTGTCGCCTTGAGGAGTCTTCTGTCCCAAGAATGTGACGATTTGATCGACGACCGATGGCACCGCAATCGAGCTCTTCGGCCCGGTGTACCCCTGGATGAGGGAATTGGAAGCCGTCGCTCCGCCTATGGCATAATCGTGGAGCGGGATGGATAGATTGCCTGCCACATACTCGGCCCAGACGATGCCGTTCGAGAAGCGCCCTTTGTAGCTTCAACTACGGTCAGTTTGGTGTCTTTTGAAGATTCTTTCGATCGGTGAGATGCTAACTATTTGTCTGATGGCCAGGTTCCATTCGACACTCTCGCGGCGCCGTTGCCTGATCTCATGGTCAATCATCGTTGCATGGGCTTCATGCGACGATCAACTTACCATTATCGCTAAACGAATCCCCGAATACGACGATACTAGAAAATGAAGGCGCGCTGGCCCTTCGTTGCAGGGGAATTGCGGAGGTGGCTGCGGCCAGGAACCCAAATAACAGGACCCGAGCGGTAGTCATTGCGATACCTCACGATGTGACAGTGAATTGCCGTTGTTGCGATGGATGCAAGTAATCAAGCAGTGCTGTATCTGCTGTGTCTCTCTGATAACCCAGGTTCCCTGAAGTTGACGTTCGTGGCATTGCACTCGATGCAAATGCCTGATCGGATCCCATCCTCCAGAACAAAATCAGACATGGCATCACAGTCCGTCCTAAATTCCTGATTTCAAAGCCGTTCGCGTGGTTTCCACGCCGAAAGCCATGAGATGAGCTTGAACCTCTAGCATTCCATCGCCGCGGGAGTCCGAATCCTGATGGCTTCAATTGAGATGTGTCATTGGCCTCGCCAGAATGAGACATCGAATCCGTCAGCCCTAAGTGAACTCTATTGGTAAATGCCGGCTGACGGGCGGGCTTAGCTGCAAGCCAAGTAAGAACAAGCCATTGTTGATGCTACCAAAGGATTTTGCCGCATAATGAACAGAAAGCACCGCAATGTAACTGGTATGATAAAGGGCCGAAGGACAGGCATGTCTCCATTTATCTCCGTTGGGGGCCAATATGGAACAAAATCTCCGTCTCCCCCGGACTTGCGGGTGGAATGCGAGGTTCCATTTGCAGACTGTAACTGCATGCATGCAGCAATGCCGTGTTTCCGCTTCCATCAACCGGATTCCAACAGATCTGCGCACCTCACACCGCCGGAAAGTCGAAACACTCATTTCGATAATTGACCCCATCTGGTCTCGGGAATATTCCTATTTAGCCTGTGCCGGCGGGTTGGTGTATGCAAACCCTGCCAAGCCCACTGTGGACTCAATATTTGGTGGTTCTGGATTCTGCAATATCGAACCCGGGTGTTCGGCTCTGTATGGACGTGTAATTTTCTGCGAGTTTTCCGGTGTCGGAAACAATAGAACATCCCCAAATACCCAGCTGTAGCATGAAAGGCATCCGGGGGTCAAATGCATCCTGCACAATCATAATTGTTTGTAAAAACCGTCGTCTGGATCTCTTTCAGGATACAAGGCCGATTTAAATTGGCAGACACAGTCAGAAAAAAAGATTTGTGCAGTGGATACGCTTCAATGGCCGCAGAAAAGATAATCTTTTACGACTAGGGGGAAATCTGACACCGTCCCATGGCTGTAGCCAGCCTTGGTTCATGTGTCGCACTCATCTGGAATGTCTCATTTTCAGTCTGCTAGAGCGTGGCATCAAGTCGATGCAAAGTCTTTCACTTGAATGCAAGAGGTCAGAGTTTGGTGGCTAACTTTTAACATTAACACGCCGTAATGAAATATAACATCAATCGAACTTGCTGGGCTTTGGGGATTGTGTACGATAGACAATCGCTCTGTGTGATGAACATGTTGCAGGCCCAGCATATTCTTAAAAGGGGACGACAGCGCAAACATTCCACAAAGCCTTCTGAAGATCTCGGCGTTATGGTATTCCATCCGGCTGGTATACTAAGCCGCGACTCCTCAATGCAATTCTGTAGGCAGAGTTGAGTGCGTGGACTAAGGTGCATCAAACGAAGACAGGGAAGTGTCAGAGAAGGACAGAGAACGGCATTATTCTCAAATATTTACTAACTGGAGTGTTCGAAACAGCCCTTTGCCTCGTACGAGGCACGCATAATGAAGTATACCCTGTATCTCGTGTTACGTCGTGTTTACTGGATCGCGAAGGTTCGCAGTCTCTTTCCCTGAACCCTGAAAGGTCTTGGCCATTTTGATTGAGTTTCTGTTTTTCGATGACAGCCGCCTCATTCTTCTATTCATGCATATCGGGAGACACCGTTGACAAGGCTCAAGAAACCGCAACCGCTGCTTCGGGACCATCCCACGCGGAATGCAGACTGATTTCTTTGGGGTATTCTGTTCGGAACATGACGCTCTGACACCTTTGTTCCTATCAGAGAGAAACAAAAAGAAGGGGACATCGGTCAAGTTTACCACATGGGGACTCAATCGGTCCGACGAGAAAGGGAAGCTTTCGTCGAGCCATATTCTGGCACAAGATGCGATGTCCGAGATCAATGCATCTATGATGTTTGTGGATCTCTCCGAGCCGCGAGCGGGGGATAATGATCGGGGCCGCACCTGTGCATCAACGTGCGGGATGCTCGGGAGTCACAGCGGCTGCACCTGATGTAACGTTCTTCCTGCATGCGCTTTTGCACAGACTCCTGTCAGGTTCAAGCGGGCAATTTAAGCCAACTTCGAGATCTCGCTACTTAGTCTACATCATGCCCCGAGCATCGTGTTTCCAAGAGGGGGTGGCCTCGGAATTTCTTTCGAGGCACCTGTCCGTCTATCACTATCCAATACCATCAACATCCACGGCAACGCAGCGTTTTCGAGATGACATGTTTATGTTGTACAAAATCAACCATCCGCCGCCCGCGCTTACTGTCTGTTCACGGTGATTCGTGCCTGCATTTCCAGCCGCCGCTTCCACGGAAGCTGGACGGTTGGGACGACTTAAGTTCGGTGAGAGGTCCAGCGCCATGGACCTGCTTCACGACACACCGTTGGGTATCCTGCTGAATTTCCTGGCCCGCGGGAAGATCAAGCAGCTCCAGTATTATGAAGAAAAGAACCCAGAGATATGGAGGAGGTACATCGAGCCCGACGCAAGCGACAGGAGTATAGCGAACTCGTCGCAAGAAGGAGTACCCGAGCAAGCAGAAGGAGCTAGTCAGGTCCAGAGCGAGGTGACAGATGTGAGGGTAGACTCCGAGAAGGGGGAGGATATGCGCCTTGTCGAGTTCCTCCCTGGAGATCCAGAGGTTCGTTGGGGTGGACTGCGAGAGGGGATGAGGGCTAACGATCTGCAGAATCCACTAAACTGGTCGCTCACAAAAAAGACCTTCGCAACATTTCAGATATGTCTCCTAACCATCGCCATTTACATCGGCTCCGCCATTTACGCAGCTGGTGTGAGGGACGTCTCACGGGTATTTGGGGTCAGTCCAGTTGCTGGAATCTTGGGCCTCACGCTCTTTGTCGCCGGATACGGGCTTGGACCGGTATGAATTCCTCGAATGTCGCATCACGACCGCTTCTTGCTGACCTTTGCGTCAGATGGTTTGGAGTCCCATCTCGGAAGCTCCCCAGATTGGCCGCAATCCCGTCTATATCGGTAGTATCGCCCTCTTCGTACTTTTGCAGATTCCGACGGTTCTGTCAGTGAACTTCGGAATGCTACTAGCGTTCCGCTTTATCACTGGTTTCGTCGGATCGCCTGTCCTTGCTGTTGGAGGCGCTTCACTAGCCGAGATTTGGAGGCCGCAGAAACGCGCTTACGCGATTTGCATTTGGGGTATTGAACACTCTCATTCCTACTTAATCCATATTGGCTAACCATTTCAATACAGGCATCGCTGCTGTCTGCGGTCCTACCATGGGACCTGTGATTAGCGGCTTCGCAGTCGACGCCAACGGCTGGACCTGGACCATCTTGGAGCTCATCTGGATCGGAGGGTTCACCTTCATTCTGCTCTTCGTCTTTCTCCCAGAGACGAGCTCCAGCAATATTCTCTTCCGCCGTACACGACGTATCAGAAAGCTGACTGGCAATGATAAGCTCATCAGCAGGGGAGAGCTAATGGCAGAAACTATGACGAGGCGGGACGTCGTCCAGATGCTGCTTGTCCGCCCATTCACTCTCAACTTCACAGAGCCCATGGTTTTCCTCCTGAATCTCTATACGGCTCTCATCTATGGACTGCTTTACATCTGGTTTGAGTCATTTGCCGTTGTCTTTCGAGGCATCTACGGGTTCAATACCGGGTTGATTGGGCTCTCATTCCTTGGAATTTTTGTCGGTGCCGTGATTATCGTACCGCCTTTTTTCTGGTACCTGCACAAGTACCTCGAACCAGAGTTCGACGAAAATGGATTTATCCAACCGGAGAAACGGCTCCCCCCAGCGTTCTTAGGTGGCGTCGCAATTCCAATCTGTTTGTTTTGGTTCGGCTGGTCTTCAAGACAGAGCATCAACTGGATCATGCCTATCATCGGTTCTGCCTGGTTCAGTATCGGATCCTTCTTATTATTCAACCCGGTGTTGAACTACCTCACAGACGCGTACCCCGAGTACGCTGCATCGGTGCTTGCTGGAAACGACCTGTTTCGGAGTGCGTTTGGTGCAGGTTTCCCCATGTTTGCGACGGCCATGTACACCAGGCTGGGTGTTGGTTGGGCAAGTTCTTTGCTCGCATTTCTTGCCATCGTTTTCATTCCCATTCCAATTGTTCTCTGGAAGGTCAGTATCTCAGATAGGTGCTGAACTTTCGTACAGGCGCTAACTTGGTTCCAGATCGGCCCGACATTGCGGCATAAACATAGTAAACACGCGAGGAAGGATGATATGATAACCTGACTTACAGCTCGATGGCGGATTGAAAAGTATTTTCTACGATGTACATATAGCAGAAAATATCGAAGTAGATAGATTGTTCATGCGCATATTATAGATATTTCTTGTGTGCAATCATCTTGAGTCATTCCAATTAATCGAACAAGGGCTTTCCTCTCGATGGACTTCGTCAACGCATGCTATTGGTACAATACAGTGACAGTCCGCATCCTCATGGCCAGCGTGGTGGCTTCCAGACTCCCCCAATGCTTGCCTCCTGATATTCACGCCTTCTCACCGCATCAAAGTGCTCACATCTCCTCTCAATGTCCCCAATCGCCTCGTACACGCCAAACGCCTCCTCGAGATAGGACTGATACTCCCACATCCGCACAGACCGGAACATTCTCGCCGTGTACCAGTACGCACACCGCGGTATATTTCTGTTCAGGCTCATCATCGCGCCGCGGCCCCTAAACCCGTCAGGACAGTCGCGGACCACACTCCGGCGAAAATTGCAATAACTGCAGTACACGGCCCACGTCCCGCACACCCCCATCACGCCCTCCTCGCGATGCATATCGTACAGAAACAGCATCATCAGTCCGCACACGCTCGCGTACAGGGGGTTGTGCATCTTGCTCGCCTGCGTCAGCGTGAACGGGAGGTGGTCGTGGGGTTCGTGCGGATATTGGTACTTGTCTCCCCACTCGTATATGTGCGACTCGGTGACGCGGGGAAGCCCCTCGTACAGTCTGGCTTGGAGGAGGAAGTTGTAGAAGTGCTCCATCTCGTGGGGGAGGAACTTCACGTTTCCGGGGAGGGTCTTGCAGGCGCGTTGTAGTTTGCGGAGCATCTTGAAGAGCTGCTGGAGGAGGACCTCGTTGAAGGCTTTGCAGGTGCGTCGGAGGAGCCATTTCTTTCGTGTGGGGAGGTAGGTGAGGATGGTGTCGAGGAGCTCGTACGACAAGTAGATCATCTTGAGAGGTATTCGAAGATGTTGTTGATGAAGCTGGAAGATGCTTGTGACGCGCTTCAAAGTCATCCTGAGGTGACAGTGTTGGACAAGCCGGCGGTCACGATACTGGAGCTTGCGCGTTTGAAAGCCGAGCCTAGCTGATCAGAAGTCTGTATTGACAGGCCTAAATATGAGAGATCAACTAAAGCTTCTCAAGGCATCTCGCGTTTGCCTAGCCGTAGGTAGCTCAGTGTTTCGCGAGAAACATAGACACAAAGAACCTTCTCGTCGTCTGAAACCCTACTTTCCCGTAGAGAACCTCTCCATGTCTTATCTACCTGCTCACTACTCATCAAAGGCATCATCCTCCTCAATCTGCAATAAGTGAGCTAACACCCAATCCTGATCATTCGCATACGGATCCTTGTGATTCCCAGCGCGGCCGTTGACGGAGGTCGGATAAATATACGCACACGACGCGCGCCCGTTTGCCTCAAACAAAGCAAGATTGTTCCGGATAATGCCACCAGCCGTCCTCAACGCCGCCGCCTGGCCTTCGGTATCGTTCTTCAGGCCCTTGCCGTAGTGATGCAGCGCGATGTCGTTCAGCGTGCTCCAGTAGTGCGGGAACGTGTCTCCCCACATCCGGTCCTTGCCGAACCAGTACCCGTCCCAGTGACGGATCGCGACGTCGTGGAGGCGATAGTCGGGCTGTTTGCCTGCGAAGAGGAGGAGGGTGTCGAGGTGTAGCTTGCCGGCTTCGAGCCACTTGTCGTCGTTGGTGTAGCGCCAGAGCTCGAGGAGCATCACGGCAGCGGAAGCGACGATGGATTGTTCGAAATTGACTTCGAAAGATGGGTAGTTTAGCCCTCGTGTCGCGATGTTTTCTCCGTGGGTGAGGAATAGCTCCTTGGCGCGCTGTAGCCATTCCTCGTTTCCATGCTTCTCGAGCGCTCGTAAACTTTCGAGGATAGAAAGGCCGATGGCGCACAGCTCGCCACCGCCTTCTGCGTAGAAGTTTTCGAGAGTTAGCATGAAGCGCTCCAGGGGCGTCTTCTCCGCCACGGTCCCGGTCGAATTGAGATCGAGCGCCGCAACGGTGATGTGAAACTGGAGAACCCACGGCCAGTTGTACAGGCGCTTCTTGCTGCCGTCCATCCCAATCGGTCTATCGCGCACAAAACCATTCTCTTCTCGTATCTTGGTCGAGACGTAAGTGTAGTACTTCTCCAGCGATTCCCGCACCTCGACATTCTCGGGATTTCTTTTAAGCCAGCGCGCCATGAGAATGCCCATCCCGACGCGCTCGCGGCCGGGGTTGCGGTCGGTGGAGGTGTCCCACGTCGCGATGAGATTGGCTTGGTTGTCGAAGACGCGGTAGGCTCCCTCGGCTGGGGTGTCGGGCGTGTGGTCTTGCTGGTTTTCGATGATGAACTTGGTGCGGCTGTCGATGAGGTCGTCGTACTTCGGGACGGTGTTGAGGAAGATTGTAGAGTTGTAGCCGTTGTCTGCCGTGACTACGAGGTTCGTCCGACCTGGACGCCCGGCGGTGAAGTTGTAATGGCAGAGTTGGTCATCGCATTGGACTGCTTGGCCGCTGACTTTCGTGTTGGCATTGACGGAGGCACCGCTGAGGGAGATGGAGCCCGTCTCCCTGGGAACGGAGGTGTAGTCGTCTGTCTCGACCCTTACGAATTGCTCAGACCGATTGGCGCTCTGCTCGAAGAAGTCGTCCCAATCGGTGGGCCAGAACCACGTCCACGCGATCGTGCTCGACTCGCCCGGCTGGAGCGTCGGGATAGAAGGATGAAGGAGGAAAACGCCACGCGTATTGGAGAGCGTGACTGGGTCGCGTCCCTCGGTACTGTAGCCCACCATCGCGCCCTTCGTCAAAACAAACCCAAGATTCCGATGCTTCCCACCCATCTGGTTCAACTTAACCCAGGAAGAAGCTCCTCCAAACGCCCAGACGTGCGCATGAGAGCGCGCCGCGACACAATCGCTTGTGTTCGTGTACTGGTCGTTGAAAGGGGTGTAAATGGCCAAAGACGTTGTCCCTCGACTGTCCAGGTCCAGCGCCGCGGCGCCTTTGTTCGTGAACGTGTACGACTCGGTGAAGGACTGGTCTTTGTCATCGACGCTTCGACTGACGAGGAGCTCCAATGGCCCCGCGCTGTAGACTTCTTGGACGGTGTTGTCGCGCTTCGTGATCTGGGGGAAGTTCCAGAAATGGCGGTGGAGGGAGTCCTGGCCCAGGTTGGCGTAGCCTAGACCTCAGCGGCTGCCGGTCGGTAGCCAGGGCGCGTTGGAGCCGGTGCTTACCCAGTTCATAGCGTTCTTGAAGCGCGGGTCGGTGATTTTGTCGATGGCGCCGGTTTTGTCGTTGATGTTGACGCGGAAGTCTTGGCTGGCTAGGTCGGCGGCCGCAGCGAAGCCGGCGAGGAGGATGGGGATGGCAGCCTTCATCTTGACATTCGGCTGAAGGTCTGTAGTTCTTCGTAGTCGGTAGGGACTTGCTTCATGTCTTCTTTGGATTTTGACGCTCGTGTATTTGTACGTGTTGTTGAGAAAACGCCCTCGCGTCGCACTCGACCGAGGCGCGTGGTGGCCATTGTTTGCCCAGGTCTGGCGTGGTGTCAGCGGGACCGAAAGAGGATAGACTCACAGATACGCGAAGCCATCGATCAATCACGCTCGAAGAGTATGAAGATGAGAGGTTCGAACAGGAAGTTGGCAAGGATCGGAGCTATCCGAGTCTGTCATCGGGGAAACCCAACGTATCGCGATCCAGAGATCTACGAAGCACCCCTGTTCAAGAACAGGATGGCTGGACGTCGACAGTACTTGGACATGGATAAATATGCACCCCGCATGCACGTCACACATATTTGCTCACTTGGTACGATGGTCGGCTGTGTCTGAAAGGTCTCAATTTCGTCTTCGCCCTATTTCCCAGCGAACCCCTGCTTCAGTTTCCGCGCGACCTTTCCCGAGTCCCGACGCTTATCTTTGACATATACTCCCTGGTAATCGCCAATGATGGTGAACCTGAGCAATCTCGTCAGTGTCAATGACCTCGAGTTCCGGAAGACAGTACCTACCGATTCCGCACTACAAAGCAAACGCTCGACCCGAGACCGAGACGCGCCGAGCGTCCGCAGAACAGAGGCTTTGCTCGCGCAAGAAACAAGGCGTGTCATCGTAGGTATGGCGAATCATGTTGCCCACAGTCGAAGTGAAAGGTAAGCCATCGCATACTTCAGTAAGGAAGCTCAAGGAGCATCGCGCTCCGCGGCGGCCTGGGCCTCGGCGGCCGTCCAATCAGGCCACATCTCAGCGTAATGCTGGAGCTTCAGGTGACGGCGACACTCGTCGTTCGCCGTGAGTCGTTGGTAGCAATATATACAGGTCTTCACCTTGCCCTGGGCCCCAGATCGACGGATCTTGGGACCCAGGCGCCGAGCCTTGTCAAAGGCGTCCGATGAGTTCTTGTTCTGGTTGTACAGAGCGAGGCTGCCCGTGGCCATGGCCTTGGTAGCCTCCCACTGCTTGTCGGCGAGTTCGTCTTGAAGGCGGGCCTGTTCAATGATGTCCAGCTTGCGATTCTCGTTGGCGGCGGAGGCGGCCTGCTCCATCTTCTCGAGGTGCTGCTTGATCATTTTATGTCCGTTCTCCATCGCCGCGTGGAGAATATCGATCTGCTCCTGGGAGTGTTTGATGATCTCGTCGTTATCCTTCGCGGCAGTCATGAATCTGTCCTCGGAACTGGTCTGGGGAATGGGACAGGTCAGATTCGAAGAGGTGGCTGAACGAAGGAAAGGGGAGATCTTACGGGCATGTTGGACATTGTCGGAGTGTCGATGATCTAGTGGTATGGTGGAGAGAAGTGTTGTTTGGTAAGTGAAAATCCTTCGATGATTGTCAGGCGACGACTGAAGCAAAAGCTAGAAGTACAGGAGGGAGGCAGGAAGAAGAAGATGAATGCAGACGACCGCACCGAGCCTTGAGGAGGGAGAGAGGCTGCCCGGTCAACGTCCAATGAGAAGGGGGGATCTCTTGAGCTCGCTGGGAGAGCACCAGACCGACCGACCTGCTGACCGCCCACCCACGTTGCTTGGGGCTGGCCGACTGCCCACGCGACTTTGTTTACTTCTTCCCTTTCACCTTCGTGCGCGACCAGGGAGAAAAAGGAGAAGGCTTTCTATTGACTTCAAGCCCAGCAGAACTTGGGAAAATCACCACCTTCTCCCTCTCAGCGCAGTGGCAAACAACACACCGATTCAGGATGGATCCTCGCGGCCCCCATTCGAACATCGTCTTCAAAGACGGCGTGTTCCATCTTTCTGTCGATGAGAAACCCTTCCTCATCTTGGGAGGCCAGCTCGCTGCCTCGTCCACTTCCTCGACTGCGTATATCTCCCGTCTTTGGGAGCAGCTTCGCGATACCGGCGCCAACACCATATTCGCGCCCGTCTCGTGGGGAGTCATTGAACCTGTTGAGACATCCTACGACTTCTCAGCTCTCGATGCCCTCATCGCTCAGTCAAACGCCAATGGACTGCGTGTAGTGATCCAATGGTTTGGATCGCTGAAGGGAGACCCGACGGACAGTAAGTTATTGCCTTTCCATCTCGTCCTCTCCGCTATTGTTCGAATGTTGGAAGTGGATTGCCCCTTTCGTCCGCCGTCTTTATCGCCCAAGCCTGGCAATTTCATCTCCCTGTGCTGTGTTTACTTATTTATATGAGGGCCGCGCAGTTTGCTCGAGCTCTCAAAGCACTGAGAAGCGTCTCTGACTTTGAGCACGACTAACATTACTGTCAGATCTGTCTGACCACGCCCCCTCTTGGATCAAGCTTGATTCCAACCGCTTCCCGCGCGCTAAGATCCGAGACGAGGTGGTCGACGACGACGGAGAGGTCATCGGTCAGACCACGCGCACCATCGACGCCGTTTCAATCTTCAACCCGGAGCTCGCCCGAGTCGAGCAGCGAGCGGTCGCCGCTTTGGCGAACCACGTCCGAAAGGTTGACCTGAAGAACACCATCATTATGGTTCAACTTGCGGGCTGTGTTGGCCTTACCAGAGACACCCGGGACTGCAGTCCCCGAGCAACCGCTGCGTTCGATGCAGATGTCCCTCGGAGCGTAATTGCTCACTTTCGAGGATTAGGCTCGGCCATGGCAGCCAACGAACGAGTGGCCTGGGACCAATTGGCACTGGATGTGGAGGCTGCCGAGAGTCTGTTTTCAGGCTTCCACTTCGCCAATTACGTTGACGGTCTGGCAGTCATGGTCAAGAAGGCCATCAGCGTTCCTGTCTTTACTACCGTGCCGGTCAAGCGCGTTCTACATGGCGCCCCTCGAACCACCGGAACCGTGGCCGTTTGGAAGACGTTCGCCTCGCACATCGACTTTTGGGCCCCCAGCGCCAGTGACGCCCCATACCACGACGTCTGTCAGACAGCCGCAGACAACAAGCACCCCCTGCTGGTCACCGACCATCCCCGAAGCCAGGGCCGAGCGGAAGATATATGGACTGCTTTCGGCAGCTACGGCGCCATTGGTGTCGTTATCAAGGACCTGGAGAAGATCGCTTCCGCTCCGTCGCAAGTTCCAAGGTCCTTCAAGCTGATCCGCGACATCTCCCGCACTCTTCTCGACGCTCGGTCTGCCCACCGCAAGACCATCGGCTTCAACCTGAGACCCGCCAACATCTCAAGCCTCACCACAAAGGCGTCCGTGACCACTGCCCTGTACAGCCTCCAGGTCACCATCGAGCGTCTCGGAGATGGAAACCACGGCGGCGGCTGTGGCTTGCTGATCGAGCAGCCCGGATCCAAGATCCTTCTCATCGGCCACGGCTTTCAGGCCAAGGCGAAGTCTGTCTCTCCTCGCGAGGTATTCACCCGAGTCCTCGAATTCATTAAGCAAGAAGTCGAGGCCAACGGTGCCCGTCGCTCGCTTCGTCACTTCTGTGGTGAGGAGACGAACAGCGGCCGCGCTGCGCGTATGCCTCCCATCGAGCCGATGATCGCGGTGGTTCAGTTTTACACCCTCATGGAGTAAGTTACCGCAGAAGAAACAGGACAGACCGTTAGTTTTGAGGGGAGGGTGAGGAAAGCTTTGGGGGAGGGGAGAAGGAATTGGCCGGTGATCATGTGGCCAACAAGAAGAGAAAAGCCTTCAATGTCGGCTACGAGCGATGCGGCCATGAAATACCGACTTTGTTTCGATCATCCAAGAGAATTATATGGTATTGGCAGGACTTTTGGGGTTCCTGGGACGTTAAGGCACACTTTATTGAAGTTCTAGTGATCTGTCTATAGAGATAGAATCCAGAAGTCAATCAACAAGATGCCATTATCCATGACGGCACGGGAGATCATGCTTAACAACTCCTTGACGTTTTCCATCAACTCAACCTAAGGCCATAAGGTAATTGTACATCCGGCTCCGGCATTACATCGTCTAACTCATGCCAAATGCGCGTAATATAAGGCTCGTATACGTACTCGTCGTCGCAGATAGATGTTTCAGGGCTGTCGGAGTCCCAGATGACACCAACCTCTTCCGCCACCACACGCTCTTCTGCAGTTAGTCCTTTCTCCATTTCCTGTCTGTCCAACTGCTCCAGCTCGTAGATCATACGAGGATGCCAAGTATCGCGAACGAACTGTACCAACTTCGAGTTTCCGCCGCACTTCGCTTCAAATTCGACACAGAGGTTTTCAAACAGCAGGAAACGGTCTTCATCTCTTGTCCAGCTTTCCGCGACTTCTTCCTCATCTGGGCATTCGTAAAAGAAATCAAGGTTACAGCAGCTGTGTCGTAGGGACAAGGCATCGAAAGTGATGCGCCTAAGGATCGCTTTACATATCCAAGCATACGAAAGGCCTCGCCGTTCACTCGGAGGAACCAGCCTGAGCGCTGCTTTACACAGGGCTGGCAAACGAGACAGCCGACGTCTGCCTGGGCGCGGATCAAAGTATTTTATCAAAGGATTACATCCTGACGGTGAGCACAAACATGAGCAAGCGTCTACGGCGGATTGGGAGAGAACAGTTTCCGAGAGCTTTTTGGGGAGAGTGAACACTTTGTGATCCCTGAATGAGGCGTTTTCTCCAAGGAGCCTCATAAAATAATGAGCTCCCGTGGTCCTCAGATCCGAGCGTTGTTGCAAATGTTCAGGTAGCAGAGTCGCAGGAATTGGTAGTTGTAGATCTAGTCCGTGATCTCTTAGCCAAGAGATATAACCAATGAAGGTTTGGACAGTCTGCTCGTGTAGCTTGTTGGTGGTGAGGACCCCTCGCAAAGCTTGGTAAAGTCCGTCCACGGCGTCAGTCTCGATATCCCGGAAGCCGAGTCTCCAGGCAAGTTTGGCGGTGGCTTGGTCGCAAATGTAGCCATAAATTGTCGCGGGAGACCCCAAAAGCTCTGTGTCCTCATCTTCATTGTATACCTTCAGGTACGATGGAATATGGCTAGATTGATCCTCCAAGAGCTCCTGGACTCGTCTAGAGCTTCGGTCTAGAACACTGTTCACGGGAAAAGCCAAGTTTCGTCTTTGTTCCTTTGAAAGCTGTTTTTTGGCCAGATCTTGTAGCCTCGTCCGCCGTTCTTTGAGATGTTGAAGCAGAATTTCCCGCACAGCGAGCGATAGATTTTGTATGGCCTCATCGTCCCCTCCTAATCCCAATTGAAGGGTGTGTGGGAAAATACCGCTGCCGGCGTTGAGCAGAGCCTCTAGCATCATACAACCCTCGCAGTTTGACACACGTTGCGTGTGACAAGCTTTGTGCAGTTGTCTGATCGTCATGTAATCTATCGGATAACAACTATAAGCGTCCCTCGTGTTAAGTAGCTTTTCGTTGCTAAAAGGTAGAACAAGCTTCAGAACTGATGCATTGCCCGCTAAAACGGCAATATGAACTGGCGTCTGTCCGCAATAATTCGTCTCGAATATCGATAAGGGGTTGTTGTTCAGTAGATGACTGACAGTCTCCAAATTTTGTTGTAGAATACCGAGCATCAATGGAGAAAATTGAAGTACTGCATATTTGTCAGCATGAACTGGGAAGTTTCATCAATGAGACTTACTCTTTGCAAAGTTTGGAAGGGCTTGAAGACGTCGGAAGGTCTCAAATCCTTTTTCCCGACCACGGCGAACACTGGTAAACCCTTCTTCCGGGTCGTAAGACTCTCTCATAGCATCCGTCAGAATCTGTGCCGCATCCTGCTCCAGCCACGCAGACGCGGCAATACATGCGTAAATGGGTCTAGAGGATGTTAACTGTGTCCAAATACAACAGCAGTAAAGTGTTCCAAGTGACTCCGCGCTTATAGGCAGACGGTTGTAATGAAACTCACTCATCTCCAGCACGTGAGACTGGGCCGTTGACTGAAAGTCTTAAAGCAATCAATGACCGTACGAAGGCCGCAATATCTACGTCTTTCCAATACTGATTGAAGCCTTGTCAGTAATATTGATTTCTTGATCCAATGGGGATTTCGTCAGTGACATGCCTCGTATCGGTCTACAATTTGACCCAGTATGTTTACACCCTTTTCATCAACGTCGGTCGGGGAGGCGATTTTCTGCGCATAGCACCAAAATATTCGCCTCCAACAAGATTCCAGAACAGTGTTTACTTCTGAGTCAATTTCTCTGATTGCTTCGATTGCAATTTCGGCAATCCTAAAAGCTGGGGATGTATTTGAGTCGACGGTAGCAACCCAAGATAGACTCTGGCTGAAAGTTGATCCATCAGCACCGGTGCTGAGACCGAATGAAAGACGGAGGGCCTTCTTCAAAAGGCCTTGAACGCCAGGTACGGAGACGCTGAGCCATTTCATCGCTTGCTTCTCTGGCGGCGTCAGCTGAGAAAGGGGGCATCCGGCCGCATGGTGCTTGATTTCGCGCGTTTCCGTGTCAAAGACCAATGGACCCAAGGATCGGCTATGACGTTGTGTATATCGGCGCCTCGTACAAGGGCAAGGGAGGTATCCGATGCCCCGTGCCTGAGATACGTTTCGGGTACCAAATGAGCTTGTTTCTGATGTTTGATGTGGTCCTGTGCTCAGAAGCCTATCGCACAGCGTTTGAAGATCTGAAGGTCGGGCAAGGAGCTGCCCAAACTGCTTTTGCGTACTCTGTGTTCCCGCGGAGTTCGCCGCAACCAGTTGCGTTAGAAGCTCCTCGAATCTTCCCAGTCGGTTGTCTACTTGCTGCCGCATTATTTGGGTGTTTTCCTCAACTCTGATTGATATCTGAGTTGATTGCGCCAAAGCTTCCGTTTGTTCAGCCATCGAGAGATGTGTCGCCGCCGCTTGCGCATGTATTTCCGGTATCAGATGGCTAGATTCACGTATGTCTTCAACAACATTCGATACCTGCAATAATTGCTTGCCGTTGTTTTCTATTGACAGTTTGATCGCCGTAGCATCGGATTGTAAGTCGACAAGAGCGCTCTGCATCGTGAGGGAAACGTTTCTGGGCCAAGAAATGCGTTTCAGCGTCACTTCAAAGACTAGGCTGAGTGGGTTGTAGCGGTGCTGTTGCTTACTTACATTCCCAGGGCGTGCAATGCCGTCTGCAGGACATCATTCGTAGAAGCAAGTCGTTTCTCGAGGTCGACAACGCTATCCTTATGAAAAGGATATATGAATTGTCTCCCTTTTGCTTTGAATTTGGAAGAGAGTGTATCTGCAGGGGCTGTCGAGCTTCGCAGACGTGTCAAAAGTTCCTCCAATTGTTTCAGCTCATCTATGCAAGAGGCGACGCATTCGTTGACTGCGTTCTTCGATACCGTCGGCGTGAGATTCGTCGATGCTGTCGCCCCCTTGATGGCATTCAGACACTTTCTCAGTATTTCTGCGTTCTGCCTTGCCGCTCTCAAGTCTTCCTCTCTGCCTTTGACTGCCTTGATGTACTTGGAGATCTCGCCGTAAAGTTGCAGGCCTAGGGACACCAATCCGGCAGCGGTACCGGCGATTCCCAGTGGGTCAGCCATGGCAAGATCGGTTTCGTCGTCAGCTAAAACTCGATCAGTACCTGGTGTCGGCGTCGGAAAACGGTCAAAAGGAAAGTTGAAAGGAAAAGTTCACATACAAAACCAGGCTGGCGCGAAGGGCCTCAACCCTTTTGCGTGTATTCACGTGGGTAGAGTTTGCGTCATAGTTGGGCAGATTGTGACGTAAACCGCAGCATCTGGTCAGCGGTATGCTGATGAGCTGGTCTGCCTACCAATCAGTTATTTCCTGCAGGATCACAGCCAATGGATTTGGGTCGTTGAACCCTAACTGCTGACGGTCTGCATATGGTCAATCGATAATCAATCCCTTTAGGTAATCCTTCGCTCATGCTTCTGCTGTTCGCTTATTTGATCTTACTATGAAAACCTACCTAGTACTTACTTAGGTATTGTCTCCAAAGAGAGAGAGAGAGAAATGTGTTATTGATATTGTAAACATTGCAAACTTAATGTTTCACAAGCAGACCTCGTTCCAAACGGAACAACGGCTTACACAATAAAGATATTTTTGTTCTTGGGCACCTTCTTGGCCTTCCTGTCGCGAATTGTTTACTTTGTAAGGAAACAGCCACCAAATACCACCCGTCACGAGTGGCAACTTACCTAGAAGCAGAACAGATCGGGAAATCCATCTCCTTTGGACTTTCGGATCGACGCCTCAGCCTTGTTTCGCATCAATCCGACAGTCTTCCGAATGCGAAGGGGTAAAGTGCGGGAGCCGCTGTCGTCTTGGCACGTCTTCTCCGCGAAAACGCAATGTCGTACTAGGCGATTTGAGAAGACGGACGAACACCCGCCGAACAAGACCATGCAACCGGATGACATTACTCCACCTCCAATGACACAACTCATCTTGGCCCGAAAAGAGATGAACTATATCATACTTCCAATCGCCTCGACAATTTCCTAACAACCCGACATGGCGACCAACCTCGTCCTGAACCTGAACCTCTCGCCACCATGTATCTAACCTCCCTCCTCCTCCTGGCCTCCAGCCTCCTCGCAACAGCGGCACACCTCCCCCTCCGCCGCGCCGACACCTTCCAAAACCCAGTCCTCTACGAAGACTACCCCGACAACGACATCTCCGTCGGCCCAGACGGCGCCTTCTACTTCTCCGCCTCAAACTTCCACTACTCCCCCGGCGCCCCCATCCTCCGCTCCCTCGACCTCGTCAACTGGGAACCTGTCGGCCACTCCATTCCCCGCCTCACCTTCGGCGACGGCTACGACCTGCCGCCCGGCGGTCCCCGCGCCTATCGCGGCGGCACCTGGGCGTCCACGCTACGCTACCGCGAGAGCAATGGCCTGTGGTACTGGATCGGATGTAACAACTTCTGGGTGACCTGGGTCTTCACCGCGTCGGACGTCAAGGGGCCGTGGAGCAATCGCGGGGTGTACGGGTGGGATGGGCTGTGCATGTACGACAACGGCCTTCTCATCGACGAGGATGACACGATGTACGTCGTCTACGGCAACGGACAAGTCAAAGTGTCCCAACTCAGCGCCGACGCCTTAAGCGTCGTCAAAACCCAACAAGTCCTCCAAGCCTCAGACGTCAACACCGAAACCGTCGAGGGGAACAGGATGTACAAAATCAACGGCACATACTACATTCTCAACGATCAGCCCGGCTCCACGACCTACATCTGGAAATCAAGCAGCCCCTGGGGTCCCTACGAGTCCAAGATCCTCGTGCAGAACGTCGCGCCGCCGCTGGCGGGCGGCAACTCCCCGCATCAGGGCAGCCTCATCAAGACCAAGGACGGGCAGTGGTACTACATGTCCTTCACGTGGGCGTACCCCGCCGGCCGCATGCCGGTGCTGGCGCCGATTACCTGGGGCGCGGACGGATTTCCCGAGCTGGTGAAGGGCGCGAACGGCGGCTGGGGCGCGGAGTATCCGATGCCGCTGCCGGAGAAGGTGTTGTATAATTGGACCAGGACGTATACGTTTGAGAGTGAGCTGGGACCGACGTGGGAGTGGAATCACAACCCCGACGTTGCGTCGTATGAAGTTAACAACGGGGTGACGCTCAAGACGGCAAGTGTCACGGAGGATTTGTACTCTGCAAGAAACACACTCACACATCGCATCCACGGCGAGTTCCCCAAGGGCACCGTCGCGATCGACTTCAGCAACATGGCCGACGGCGACCGCTTCGGGCTGGCTGCGTTCCGCGACCAGAGCGCGTACATCGGCATCCACCGCGTTGGTGACACGTACACCCTGAAAGCGGTTCAAGGCTTGATCATCGACGAGTGGTCCGGCGATCCGGTTTCGAACGGCACGGAGGTGGCGTCTGCGCCGGTGCCGAGCGGCTCGAAGAAAGTTTGGTTCCGCGCGGAGCTGGATGCGCGGCCGACGGGGACGAGGGATGCGGACTTCTTTTACAGCTTTGATGGGGTGAGCTTCACGAAGCTGGGGGAGACGTATGAGTTGTATAGTGGTTGGGCGTTTTTCATTGCGTACAGGTTTGGCATCTTCAACTTTGCGACGAAGGCGCTGGGAGGTTCGATCAAGGTTGAGTCGTTTACTGCGGCTTGAGATTTGTCTTCAAAGTATATATGCAACCTCTTCTTGCATAAGACTATTTCCCAATACGATTCTTTCTATGATCACCATCATGCTTCTCCAACTGCCAGGCTCCCACGCTCCTTCATCCCATGCACAAACCTCACAATCCCCTCAACCGCAAGCCTCGCAACCGTATCACCCCCCTCCAGCCTCGCATCAAACGAACACACCACCAAGCTCGTCGGCTCCGTCCGCTTCGGTATGACCTCCATACACTCCACCAAGTCCCTCTCATCCAGTCCCCCAGGCGACGGCCACTCATTCACCCTCCCCAACGACTCATCCAACACATCCAGATCAAGATGCACATGCGTCCTCTTGAACCCCTTCCGCTCCAACATCCCATCCAGCTCTCTCCCAAACTCCACCTTCTTCGCGGCGTCGCCCCAGATGACATCAACCCCCGCCTCCGTCACCGCTTTTCTTTGCGCGTCACTCACGTCCCGCAACCCGCAGTACGCAACTCTCTCCAAACTCACGGGAACATGTCCCGGCACGGACGCCATCAGCGCAGCCCAGCTACGCCCGCACATCATCGACGCGGCCATCGCGTCAAGGTACCCGTTCACATTCGTATCGGGCGTATCCAGATCATCATGCGCGTCGATCCACAACATATTTAGATCCGGCACAGAAGAGTGCAACCCAGCTGCGACAGCGGCGCTGGCGTTGCAGTTCCCCGAAAGCACGAGCGGGAACGAGCGGCGCGATACGGCTGCGGCGACGGCGTTGGCGATGCGGCGCAGGACTTCGAAGGTGCGTCCGATCTCGCCCTCGAAGGCGTCCACGGGGCCGATGTTGGTGAAGGAGATGGGGGCGAGGGCCTCGAGCTTGGAGGCGAGGTTGTGGGAGAGAATGCGCAGGGGCCCGGAGCCGACGCGGTGGTCGTAGAGGCCGGTGTGGTAGGGGGCTACGATGATTGTGATGGAGGTGTAGGACATGGTGCCGGTTGGGTGTTGGTGGGCTTGGGGTGGGAGGACATAGCGAGATTGGGGCTGATATCAACGCATTTAAGTCGGTGGTTTTCGAGTCTATGGAGTCTCGATATCAGGATAATGGTGATCCGGTGTTGCGGTGCGGTTCCACTCCATTAGCAACCCACTCTTTCCACGGAGTGGTGATGTCCGGAACGTGTGTATCCATATGGAAGGTTCCACTCGGACGGTATGACTCGAGGCGGAATATATTTTCCAACTACAAATCACTTTCCTCAATCTACGTGCGCCCAAGCGGATCTCTCCGTTTATATGCTTCTGTTGTGGATTCACACCGGCGTACGGCCGACCAATGGGGTATTACAAATCGAACGACGTACGGAAACACTTGCCGTCTTCGTAGATGCCTTCGCGTCTGTTTTGCTTCATTTGGACGACATGCTCCTTACTCATCCTGGGCAAAAGAACGATACCACGGGGTTTGAGTTGATATCGCGGGATTTGAGAAACTCAGACCACCGACACATCGTATCTTACCTGCGAGCTCGGGGTGCCAGAGCGAACAAACATCACATGCCGTCAACCCCTCCTCGCAGAATGCACTCGTTATGAACAAACAGACGTCAGCGGACATCAAATACCTCCAAAGAACGACAGCAACGACACCTCACAGACGGAGCAGAATTTCTGTCCCTGTCACTGCGGCCGTCAAGGCTGTCAGAAAAGCTTGATACCGGTGAGGGAAACCAGCTCGCGTGGTCCTGGATACCAGACGCGGAACGCAAGATGCCCACCCCGCGCTCTACGCGTTGTATTGTCGTCAAAGGGGGCATCTGAGAGGAACCTCTTTGGGACATGTTACCAAAAATACCACGATACTTCGGACGTGTAGCGGCGATTCGTCCATCGGTGATGGGAAAGTCAAAGCAAAACTGCATGCCACCGACGGACGAACTGGAAATTTCAGCAAAATGACCCTTCTGCATATTTACCCCGCGATAACATCCTGCAGTATGCAGCATGCACACCAAAACGGGGGAACCGTCTCGTCCGCGTGGACAGCTCCGGATCCGGGGAGACGTAGCAGCCCGACATACCTGCATTCTCGACCGTTTCTTCTTGAACAGGAAGCAAACACCCGAACCCGTTTTGACACAAAACAAAGACCATTCAGCCGTTCAGCCGATGTTCTCCAGGAACCGAGGCGGGCAAACGACGGGCGCGTGCGCATCCGAGAGCGCTGCAGCCTGAAGCTTCAAGTCCAGACAACGGTTCGCCACGCTGGTTTCTATTTTGCCCATGTGGGCTATTTACGACAGGAAGTCAAACGGGGGTGCTAGCGAAACCCTCGCATGAAACGCTGTCTTTGTGGTGACAGCTGGCGTTTTCTTTAAACGCCTTTCTTGCAGCTTGGAGGGGCTTGCAGCATGGGGCTATTTCCATCATAACCTCCCAAGCTCATACATA